TACTAATTTATATGATATCGGCTAAAACACTTGAACTTATCGCCACAGAAAAATATTATTTTATCAGTTTTAACATTAGTCGATCCAAAGTTCAAGAAAAATACTTTGACGGATGAAGAAGCCTTTCAAGGGAGAGATTCTGTAGCCAGTTAGCGACAAGTTTCGGATCGATATCGCACTTGTTGACTTACAAATATTTGATATCCAACGTCGACAAAACCGATACCGATTCGAAAATTGTCGTTAACTGGTTACAGAATCTGTCCCAGGCCTACAAAAATGATATCGTCCGATTCAGCTGGAACAAAAATGCTTCAAGCAGGTAAGGGTTTCTCTGTATTATGGCATCGAACCGATACATCTTTCATTTGAATCAGTAAAAAAGCTCTATTGGCTCTTACATTCGGGTTTTGTTAGGCGTTTTTTCCATATTTTTGGCCTATGTGCGCTTTTATTCGAAACCTAAATGTTTCGGTACCGAGTATCGAGAGTATTGGGTACTTAAAAGTATTGACTCAGCACATCACTACTGCTGTCTTCTCTACTATGACGTCACCAAAACAGCTGATTCTGTCAAAATCACTGAGAGCCGAGTAGCGGTATCGTCATCGGCGCCACCTCTGTATTCTCTCCACCGTGCTGAAAAGGTGTATTTTGTTATCGCTTGTAATTTTCTATTTTTATACCGCAAAATGGGTCGTGGTGCTGTACTAACTTCGGAGGAACAGGGGAAAATATTGGCTTATCGAGACAGCAATTTTACAACCAGGCAAATAGCAGACAAAGTGTCTAGAAGTCAGACTGTTGTGTCTCATTTCCTTAGAAATCCATCTAATTATGGGAAAAATATGACAAAGCCCAACAGAAAAGTGCTTAAGCCTTGCGAAGAGCGCAGAATTCTCCGGGAAGCCTCAAATTCAAAGTGCTCTGCAGTGAAAATTCGTTCATATTTAGAATTAAATGCAAGTATAGCAACTGTACGGCGTGTGATAAGAAATGCAAAACATCTAAAAAGATTAAAACTAAAGAAAAAATCACCATTTACAGACGTTCGTAAACATGCTCGCAGCGTTTTTGCTCGGAGTCACATGACATGGAATAGTGAGTGGTACCAAATCGTGTTTTCTGATGAAAAACGTATTAATTTGGATGGCCCAGACGGGTTCAACTACTACTTCCATGACGTAAGAAAGGAAGAACTCCATTTAATTCGTCACCATAGTCGTGAGGGAGGTATAATGGTGTGGGGTGCAATCTCTTATTATGGACCATTCGAACTCCAGTTCGTTTCATCCAAGATGAATGCCACACGCTATAGAGCGCTGCTCGAAAAAGCTTTTCCACATTTTTTAAACATTTTTGGGCCATTACCATGGACATTTCAACAAGATAACGCCCCGATTAATACTGCTCGAGCCGTAAAAAAGTGGATTAAAGACCAAAATGTAACCTTAATGGATTGGCCTCCATACTCTCCTGATCTGAATATTATCGAGAACGTGTGGGGATGGCTCTCCCGTAAAGTCTACCAATCTGGCAGACAATTTGAAGACATTGCATCATTAACAAATGCCATTAAGAGCGCCTGGAGCGATCTCTCATTGGATATTCTTAAGTCTCTCTACGATTCAATGCCAAACCGAATTTTTGAAATAATTTCAAATAGAGGTGGATACATACATTATTAATTAACCTTAAAAATTTGAATTAAAACCGAATTTTTGGAAGATTTTGTTTTTTATATTAGTGCTAAGTCGTTGAATCTATTCCGTTGATCGATAAGAAGTCGTTAGTTTTCAGGTTCACTTAGAAGAAGTAGTATTAAACAAAAACCTTTTCACATAGATCTCTAATTTTTTTTAGTTCATTTGAGAATTTAATACTGAATAATAAAAAAATATATACTTTGGTTAATTTCTTCGTATTTTCATTTTAAAACTTCAATATTTCATGAAAATAGCCTGAGTCTATTTCATTGATCGGGAGTGTACTCTGCAATCCCCCAGATGAAGCAAACAAGCGAAATAAATAAAACTAGTGAACCCGCATGGCGATAACACGCCAAAATTGAGCTTAACATTTTAAACAGATGGCGAAACTATTCACAAACCTTAATAAATACTGAAAATGCTTCAAGTAAATTCGTTCATCCCTTTTTGAACGAAGAGAGGTCTCACATGGCGTCGGTTGTTCATTGCCTCTAAACTCAAACCACCGTGCCGCTAAAAAAGGTCCTAACTTCAAAAAATAAAACCTTAATGCACATTTATAATGACGGTGCTGATGACCCTAACAAAAAAAATATTTATTTATAAAAATTAACCCAAACTAATTTTTTCGGTATATTATGGGTATAGTCGAAAGAACATATATTCCCATTAGTTATGGAACCCGATTTCATGTGACTGTCTTCGCAGTAGCGCATTCTGTTAACCCAGTTCTTCAAGACCTTGTTGATGGTTTCGGTCTCTATCGTAAGAAATGCCCGACATACGCCTTAAAGACCTGAATCGTTAATAGATTGTTCGCGTTATATCGGTCCTTCACGGCATGGCACAAAAAGATTTAAGGGCGTGAATTCGGGGCCAATTGATTTCATCCAGACAGCTAATAACACAATTACCGAACTTTATCGCTCAAAATAAAAATCGAATAGATGGCAACCCTAACAAAAATATTTTCAAACTAAAGTTTTATTAAAACTCTTTCTTTTTCCACTCATATTTTAATATTTCATTGAAATTGTGTAAAAGCTAAATAAATTAGTCTTTTCAAACAGGTGGCAACCTTCTGCGAGGCATTTTCAAACTGAAATCTTTACAAGCTCTTTCGCCCGATACTTTGATATATAATTCAATTACCTGAAGAATTAAATTTAATTAAATTTTTTTATCACCTGGCAACCCTCCTAAACAGTTCAGATATAAATCCTTCTCAAACCCATGAACGATTAAATCACCTCTTTTAGTAATTTATTTAACTTAATAATTCATTTAAATTTAGAATTTTCAACAGCTGTCAACTCTCTTCAAACCATCAAACAAAATTTTGATGTTTAAACTGAAGATTTCTTAGCACTCTTTCGTTTAACACCCATATTTTAATAGTGCATATAACTAAATTCGGCTTTTAAAGAAGGTGGCAACCCTTTTCAAAACATTTTCAAATTACTACCTATTTAAACTCCTTTAGTCTGGACCCCTGTGGGGGAACATTTTGTAAATTATCTATGGAATTTGTAAATTACCTATGGCAACTCTTTTCAAAAGGTAAAACCTCATGATTTGCCACCTTACTTTTGAAAATCGAACAAACGGTGTGGATCTGATGGCATTGATTATTAAATTATTTGAATGCAATTTTTTAACATGTGGCACCTCTCTTCGAAAAAGTAAACCCTTATTGCACATCTACAGACCAAGCGCTTTAATCTGACATCTCATTTTTGAAAATCGGGCGAACGGTACAGATCTTTTATGCTGCACAAAAAATTCCTTCGCGTATTATATACATAGATATTGCAGAACATTCTACTATGCATTCTCCGAAATGAAGCAAAGAAGCGAAATAAAGACGATAATAAAAGTTTAAGTTCGGGCCCAGCCGAACATTAGAGTAGAGTAGTATTAAATATAGTTCTTTTCACCTTTCCGAAAACTACCGCTACATAGTAGGCAGGGGTGGTTTTATCCCTGTTTCAAACATCTTCGATAAACTTATATGGCACTTCTTTTCAAGGGATAAACAATCTGGGTCTTTGTTAGAAAGGTAAAACACATCTCTTTCAAACAGAGAAAAAAATTTAAATTCGATCAAAAAACAACAAAGTTATAACTTCCTGATTTTGTAACTGAAAAAAAACAAAGTTTTATCATATTTGCTAGTAAAAAGTAGTAAAGTAGAAGTGACAACATATTGTCAAGTGTTGACTATTTATGTCTTGTAGTACTAAGGTTTTATTTATTATTATCATAAAATTTCTAGATTTTAGTTCGAATTTTTAAAATAAATGTTTAGTATTCAGATTTTTAGTCTAATAAATTTAATTATAGTACAGTGGAAGATTAAAGTTGGCCAAAAATCCCGTTGATTTTTGATAAATTTGTTTACTGACGATTTAACGTTCTTTCCTCCATACAAAATATGAAGCTATCAGAGTTTAGCCGATTTAAATATATCTACCTATGTACATAAATATGTAGCATTGTAATTTTACATTTTCAATCTATCACTTTGGCTACAATCATGGGCGTAGCCAGGTAGGGACAGGGGGGTGCTTGAGCCTCCCCCCCCCTAACTTTCAAATATTCCTTATATATATATAAAATAATACCCTGAAATGCCAGCTTAATAGGGTCGAGCCTCCCCCCCTATATTTCATTCTGGCTACGCCGATGGCTACAATTGTAGCCAAATGGCAACGCTGATTGTAAATTACACTGTGCGCATGTATGTATGTGCATTAGACTGCATCACTCCCCATACAAAAAAAAATCGGTACTTTTTTCCATTGGAATTATAAAATCTATGATATTTTAAGACTTGTGCCAAAATATTTCGGAAAAATATTAAGATTTAAGTGAGCTGGACCAATTTGAAAAGACCTCCAAAAATGGGGGTTTTAATGAATAAAACTAGTTTCCAAAAAAATTTTTTGAAAAAAATCAGCTCAGAAATAAAAAAATAAAAATTCAACGGAATCATAATAATGATATTTTTGATGCTGTTTTTTAACTTTTTTCAAAGATTGCTTTGAGCAAAACTTGAATAACTCAGCCAAGACTTTACCGATTTAGACTTATGAGGTATCATTGGAAAGGTATTTTCTCACCCTTTTATTTTCTTTGCAAATATATTTATTCACGTCCCATTTTTTTGTTGCAAATATTAACACATCTTAGTTGAACTTGTAATTACACTCGTTCATCTTACCTTTCCCTTTCATACTTTGATTGTTTTCAATCCTCATAAAAATCATAAAAATCCTTTCGTGAATTGAGTCGTTTGTAACATTTGCGTGATTCTATTTTATTAGCAATATAACCAAGACGATTTTTTTCAATGACTGAGGTACTGGATTGAGCCACGATTTGTACAAACCGCTCAGTGTTTTGCGAATGACAAGGAAAGTCTAGAATGAAAAAGTTTAATAAGAAGAAATTAGAAAAATAGTTGTAGATAAGTATGCAAACTATTGATTTGATTCGGAAAATAAATACTTTATACCTGGAATTTTGATAACTTTGTCGGAATTGTAAAAAGAAATCAAAACATCATCCGAATAAAATTGTAAACATGGCGGTTCTGTAACATTTCCAACTTCGTCCCAGTCAATTAAATTCGTTAACGACGTAGCATCAAAAATTATTCTTGGCACGAAAACTGACGAATGTTATGAACTCCATGCGCTCGAAATTCAAAAATTTTGTCATATCCTTCATTTCGTACTGGTTTATCCTGGTCTGTTATCATTGATAATAAAACATTTTCCGGATGAGCGAAAAACCCATTAATTTGCACAGAGTGTTGTACAGTTTCTTGCATATCTGTAGGCAATTGTCGAATCCATTTAATATACTGTAGTAAGTGTCGGCTGCCATTTATGGCTTTCGGCTTTTTTTTTATTAAAAACCAAAATGGCGCATAAACCTTTACTACAAAGAATGTAAGTTTTTTTAACTTTTCTGAAGCCACTGGCTTCGTAACATACAGACGAAGTACCCTAGCCGCTGTTGTCAGCCATCGCGAAAGATTCCGAGGACCTGGTTTAATACTTGCTAGATATTCACTGCAAACTCCACTATCGACTGCTCAAACCAAATTAAATAAATATTTTTGATCGGCTCTCAAGTCCCACTCGTCAATATTTTCGGGCATCTCACCCATTGGGATTGGTTCGAAGTTGTGTGCAGCCTTTATTTTTTAAAGAATACAATTAAATAAAGTAGAAAGTATATATGCATTTTTTTAATAAGTCTAAAATAATACAAGATAAGAAAAGGGCAGTAACCGTGGGATACTTACTGGTAAATTTTCGCAATTTTGTAGGGAATAACCAATTAATCCAGGCCAGTTTTGTGGCCCACTAGCCTTCCCTAAGAAGTGTTTTAATACCGCCGTAAACGTCAATTCGTTGAAGTGAAACAGACATATAAACCACTGCAGTGGTCGCTCCAACTTATGCTCTAAATTACAGATGGTACCTCGGCTTTTCCCAGTGTTACATCTCGTTCCATCGCAGTTAATTGCAATCAATTGCTCCAATGAATAATCTTCTCTTTTTAAAAAATCCATCATTTCAGAGGTAATTGCATCGCTGCTCCCGTTAGTAGGTGTTACAAAACCAATTAAACTCGAGTTAGGCTCTTTTACCATTGTTATATGTTCCTCTGTAACAATAATATTCCGCTGCATACCAATAACGACTACTTGTTTCGGCCCTCTTAAGCTGGCATTTCAGGGTACTATTTTATATATATACCCTATACCCTACCCCTACCTGGCTACGCCCATGTTCACACCCAAAAATTTTGTTATCATTCTGGTTCAAAAGTTTGAAATTTCGATTATTATTTGTTGAGTTTTTAAACAAAGTTTCAATTTCTTTGTACCATATTAGAAAAATTGATTTATATGGTTTTGATTTAAGCATGAAATATCAGGTAATATAATTAGTAAAAGTCTTGTGGGTGAAAAAATTCAAGAGTATTACAAAAAGTTGGTTTTTTGTAACTATTTTCCGTCTCTGTACTCATACGTCAGTATTAAATGTTAGTTTACACCTAATTGTAATATAATATTCAAAATTATTTTCAGGGAAATATTTTTTCATTAATCATTTAAGAAACTATAGTTCATTCTGTAATACAAACCCTATAAGTCAAAGTTCCACATTTTATATAAAGTACACATAAATTCAAAAAATGTTCATCAAAAATTTCAACTTTTTATTCACAATTTCTACAAAGTTTTCGAGTATGCAGTTTTGTAGCCTATTCAATTTAGTAACGCAAATTGCAAGTTTCAAGTCGCTCAAAATTACCGTTGATTTTTTTTTAGAATTTTTTATGTGAAGGGTGTTGCGAGTTTCTTCCGTATAAAAATAAATTGTAATTTTTCGTTATATGAAAGCAAATCCAACAAAAAAAATTCTAAAAAATTAACGGAAACTTTTAGCGACTTGAAATATGCACTTTATTTACTAAAATTGAATGGTCTACAAAACTGCATACTCGAAAACTTTGTAGAAATTGTGAATAAAAAGTTGAATTTTTTGATGAACATTTTTCGAATTTTTGTGAACTTTATATAAAGTGCGAAACTTTGATTTATAGGGTTTGTATTACAGAATCAACTATATTTTCTTAAATGATTAATGAAAAATATTTCCCTGAAAATAATTGTGAAATTCACTGACTGACAATGTGAATTTTATATTACAACTAGGTTGGATACTGGCCGTACATATTTAGCACATAAACATTTTGACTAGCTTTGACTATTTTTTTGTTATTTTATTTATGTTCATAGTATATGTAGCTCATTGTATAACGAAGACTACATATATAAATTCAAATTTCAAACTTGGTACACAAATGTCAATCTTTTTATCACAATTCTAAGGTTTTACATTAGAGTTTCTAGAAACATTTTTGGTACGCTATAAAAGATTATTAAATATAAGTAAAGAAATGTACACCTTTTAAGTTGCTTAAAATACCGTTGATTTTTTATACTTTTTATGGAAGAAAGTTCCTAACACTGTAAGCTAAAAAAAATATATAAAAAAATCAACGGGATTTTAATTTTTTTTATCTAATTAAAAACCTTAGAATTGTGATAAAAAGCTTGTGACATTTATGTACCAAGTTTAAAATTTTGAATTTATATATGTAGTCTTCGTTAGACCATGAGCTATATTAAAAAAAATAATAATTGTGAACATTAATAAAATAACAAAAAATAGTCAAAGCTTGTCAAAGTGTTTATCTGCTGTCTTTTATCGCGGGCTGCAAATGGCTTTTTCTTTAATTCATACTAATTAAAATAATAGATATGATATAAATTATTTTTGTGGAATTTTTTCGAATGCTGACTTTGAGAAAATATCGTTTCTTTATAACTTCTATTGCAGTACGGAGCTCCTGGATTGGGTCAGGACTATCGATCGCAACTGTAAAATAGATACGAATACACATTTTTGGCTTTTATATGTACATATGTCAATATTTATACCTAACAAAGTATCGAAGAATTGTCTATATTCTTTCAGTCCTTGCTTTCCGTAGACTCCATCAATGTTTATGGACATGATAACTTCAGTGCTGATTATATTATCCAATTTTTTTGTTCACTTTCCCTTCGTTAGCTCCTTCAGTGCTTTGATCTGACATGAAAAAAGTTGAATATTGCATATATAATAATATCTTACAAAAATTGGTCTGCTTGCTCCGCATATTTTTTCGTCAATTTCTTTCAAATCCTCCAATGACTTCAAAGGAAAATATTTAAGCACATCATCAGAAATATATTCCTGGTATATAAGCCGCTTTAGTAATATATTATGTTCCGCCAGCGTCCGCATAATAATTTTATTTTGACCTTCCACAATACCTAAATGAATAGGTTAGATATAGAGTATTGTGCGAAACAAAAGGAAAGTTAATTAAGTACAATTTTTTATAATGGTATAATTAGTTCTGCAAGAAAGCCTACTGGCATTCGAATTTCAAGGTTTTTGCAAAAGTTAGAAAAATTCGGCAAAGTTTTCACTTTCATTCATATTTTTTTAGAGAAAATTAGAGTAACTATAAAAATTAGCTAATTAATATATTCCTTTATTACCCTGAAAGAAAGTAAATTCACATAGTGACTCAAACAAGTTTCACGTGTTGATTTTATTTTAATATTTACAATGTTTTTCAAAAAATAGTAGAAGTGATAGCTATTTCCGAAACCACCACATTTCCACATCAGACTTCTTTCAGTAGGATTCGAACCGACGATCACCACTGACTCAGCCAGTTGCCTGCGCACTGTGCTAAGTTTGTCTTGTTAAAAGCTCAGTTATTCTAGACTTAACTTAATTTAACTTACCGTAAGAAATCATCAATGATTACTCAACACATCAACTTAAGCCAAGAGCGGAAATATTTTGTTTTTGTATTTTCTTTTTCAGCTGTTGAACAGTTCGCCGCTTTTAAAGCCACATCAAAAAAAATCATGCATACAAAAATTTTTGCTTTCATTTGTTTTTAAGAAATACAAAAACGAGAGTCTGTTAAGCCTGATTCTCTCACCGCTCTCAATTTCCGTAAGACCGTAACTTAAAAACCTAAAATCTACAGGTTCTTAAATTTCTTACGGTAAGTTAAGTTTTAACTAACCGCCAACATAGTTTCTCATGTAACAGGTTGGCCAAAATATTAAGTAAAGTTAAGTTACGGAAATTAAGTCTAGACTAACTGAGCTTTAATTCTTGTTGCTTATTTTCCGCTATTTCACTTTGCTAAGCCAACTACAATCAAGCGCAGCTATTCCGCTGCAATTCACTTGACCATGTGGTTGTTGGTTTTGTTGGTTTTTGTTAATATTTTTATACCCGAGCGCACTTGTGCACAAGGGTATTATAACTTTGTTCACATAACGGTTGTTTGTAACAGGCAAAATGAATCGAGATGGATATAGACAAATGTATACATAAATGATCAGGATGAAAAGAGAAATCGATTAAGCGGTGACTGTCTGTCCATCCGTCCGTCCGTCTGTGCACACGATAACTCGAGTAAAAATTAAGATATCTTAACGAAACTTGGTACGTGTACTTCTTTCGGGCGTAGGACGGATGGTATTGAAAATGGGCAAAATCGGACAATAACCACGCCTACCTCCCATATAACGGTAATTTTCAGAAATACGAAAACTGCGATATTTTAGTAACTACTGAAGATTATTAACTCAAAATTGATATTTACAATAATTTTTAGACGGAAAATAAGAATGTTATAAATTTTTGAAAAATGGGCGTAGCCACGCCCACTTATGGATACATGTGTATATCTTGGCAACCGCTGCACCGATTTCTTCCAAACTTGGGACAGTTATTGGCCTTGGTACAGGATACCAAATGGCCGAAAATTTTTAAAATCGGACAATAACCACGCCCACATCTCATATAACGGTAAATATTAAAGCCAATTTATTCAAAATTGATGCTTTAAACAATTCCTTACCAGGAAATACGTCTATAATAAAATTTTGAAAAATGGGCGTGGCACCGCCCACTTATGATCACATATATGTATCTCGGTAACCGTTCTACCAATTTGTACCAAACTCGGTATTTTTATTGTGCTTGCTACATAAAAGCAAAACGATGAAAATTATTGAAATCGGACTAAAATTATGGTTTTTCATATAACGGTAAATTTTAGAAATGCTTGAAACGTCAATATTTTGAAATTTAAGGACGCTAATTTACTCAAAATTGATACACCCTGACTTACCATGTAGCGGTAGCGCCGGGTATTTAATGTTCGGCTCCGCCCGAACTTAGACTTTCTTACTTGTTATTATTAGAATGTTTAACTTTTAGGTGTGCTCGTCCTTAAGTTATTTGTTTTTGTTATATTTAGGGCCTTATAACAATTATATTCAACATTTTTTATGAGCTTGAAGCCGTTTCCACAATAACTTTTCACATGAAACGGCTTCAAGCTCATAAAAATTGTTGAATATAATTGTTGTAAGGCCATACAAATAACAAAAACAATGTTTTTCAAGTTAAAATTGGTTTTTATTTTTTATTTTTAATATTGTTCATGCTTTAACCAAACCCATGTAAATCAAATATTCAAAATTTATGCAGAATTTAAAAAATTGTGTTAATTTGATGAATTTTTCTGCATTCTGCATAAAATTTTAATCTTTGATTTACGTGGGTTTGTTTAAAGCATGAACAACATTAAAACTATGAAATAAAACCCAATTTTAACATGAAAAACATTGTAAATATTAAAATCAAATCAACACGTGAATGGGGTGTTTTGAGAGAATGATGTTTTGTTGACGTAACTAAACTCAGTTCTCAGGGTAAACTCAATTATTATTAGAAGCTTACCTCTAAGTTCCTGTATTTCCGAATGCAGGTTTTTCATATTTTTGCAATTTTCATCTGAATTAATTTTCCCTTTCGGTTCATTGTGAACAAGTAGTCGTATGCTGCAAAGGTACTAAACGAAATTCGTTGTTATCAGGTAGGTAAGGCATATAGGTAATCTCATGAATTCTAAACTTGTTTATTGGTTGCGAAGTGTCGTACCCAAATACCCAGCGATGAGAAAGAATCTACTGGCTCTGTAAAGAAGCTCCTAACGTTTACTAATTTCCTTGCCAGGATTGTTAAGTCGCAACCCTTTTCGAACCCAACTATTCTCACTGGTATATTTAGCTTAACACAGCAAAAGCTGTCTGGCATTCGCATGCTTAAATGGAATTCAAAATCAAAACTTTTTATATTTTATTTATTTTTTTTTTGTATTTTAAGCGTTTTCTCTCTTTTTATAATAGTTTCAGCCTGCACGTGTTTACATATTTGCTGTAGAATATGGGAAGGTTTTTTAACGTATTTTTTTAATATTTGCAAATAGTTTTCGAAATCATACCCTGAAAAATTGTATAAGGGTCCAAAATGCTTAATGCTTTCACTCAAATGTAGCAACCCATGGACATTGTACGACACACTGCCTTCTCCAAAAATTATTGGAAAATTTTGCACAAAAAGTTGTAGTAAAGTGTGAGCTACTGAAAAGTTTTTCTCACAAGTTTTTGGGCAAGAAAACAATCGACAGGCGGTATGAAGTAAAAGAAAAACATAGTTAAAATCATCGCTAACATTTTCTCTTAAGACTAAAATACCAGAGTACAGTAGAAATTGCCTGAATTCTATAGCCTTCCAATGCAAAAGTTCATCAGAAGACCGTGGCTTTCGAACAAATTCTTTAGGAATATGTGCAGCAAATGATTGCAAATGCCTCGACATTTCTGTTTTTTTGGAATTAGTAACTCTAGAAGAAATTTTATTTTTTAACAATCGTAATAAGACCTTTCTCACCACTCCAAGATCCACGATGTGCATGGGGTCCAGTGGAACTTGATCAATCATATTTATATTCAAGTTTTCGAAAAGTTTGTATAGTATAATTTTTTTTTTGTGGTGATGAGGGTACTTTCTACATTCAAAGTCAGCATTAGTTAAAAGCTCAACACACTGAACAGAATATGTGAACACATTATTTATTTTTCGTGCAACTTGGATAGAGCATCCATGGGACGATCTGTGGCTGGGTATTCCAAAAACAAATGCTTTGGCTGGTGCATCACAAATTATTGCTCTGACTTTAATTTCGATTAATTTATAACAAAATTTTAAGTTCGGTAACCACATCAGATAGAAAATTTTTAACACAATCCGGTTTGGTTTTACCCAGATACACACCAATAGGAAAGACTGAAAGATTTGGTATGTTTACCACTTTTACCAAAACCGGCCTCAATTGCGTTTTTGAACTTCGGTACAAAGGAAAACCGTCAATATTTAGGTCTAATATTAATTCATCACATTTAAAAACTACATCTGAAATCTTTAATAGCTGCTGCTCAAAACTTATATGGGTGTAAAAGCCAGGGGAAACTGTTTTTATTACCACCGGTCGTTTGCTGTCCTCAAAAGGAAACGCACTGAGAGGAACATCTAGATTTTCCTCATATAAGATTAGCAAAAGCTCTTCAAAGCACTTTCGCGAAGGCTATTTAATGTACCAGGTTTTAATATTTTCCTTCAAAGATTATGCTGGTACAGGGCTTGGACAATCAGGGCTAAAATCAGTCACATGAGAATTAACCACTGGGGCCGCAGTCATTGCCTCTGCCACCACGTCATTTGGGGTTTGCAGTCATTTCACATACATTTATTTTTGAATTTTCACTAACCTACGCTGATTTCTTCCACTTCCATCTTCTTTGAACATTTTCACTTAATATTTACTTACTTTTTATATAAATTTCTCGAACGTAGCAAATTTCACTGCTGCGGCGTCACTTTTTCGTTTTCGTTTAATTATTGGTTTTCATTAAACAGCTGATTGTCATGATTGCCATTTGTGCTGCCACATCAGTGATGCCAGCTTGCGGGGAATTTGTCTCATTGCGGGCAATCGGGGAATGAGCTGCCTTTTGAGGAGAATTTTGACTATTTAATTTTAAACCATTATAGAACTTTCCTAGAGTGCATAGCACTTTTTGTAAAATTGTATTTTTTAGTCACAATTACAACTCTGCTAATTTCGCATTAGCAACACCATAAAAACATCGGTGTCAGCAAACAAGGCGAATTTAATTGGGAAGTCCACGAACTAGTTAGTTCAATGCACTAGGCCATTGAATTGATCGAACGAACTAGGTAGTTCGAAATTTTAATAGAAATATTTGCTCCAATCTGCCGTTTTGTAATTTTACATATTTACATATTAAATATGGCAAATATTTATTCATATAAAAATATGTAAATTCAAGAAAGCCGAGAGGAGTAAAGTGTTGAAGGTGCTAGCAAAAGAAACAAATTCAAAAATCAAGTGTAATTTTTAGCCACTAGAATTGAATTGGCTTCTAAAAAATCCGTGTAAAAAGTTGAAAATCTGTATGATTTTTTTTTTAATTTGTTGAATTTTTGTGAGTTTTGCCCAAAGTTTTAAACTTTGACTTATATGGCATATGTTCTACAATTAGATATATATTTATAAGAAATTAGTGAAAAAATTAAACATTTAAATATTGTATGTATGTACATTTGTTAATAAATTCAAGCAATTGAATTAAAAACTGAGGTTTTTTTAATGGTCTTATACCAGTGCGGGGTATTTTACCGAAAATCGCAAAATTTCGTGGTGGCCAAATGGAAGAAAGAAAAACTGAGTTGGTATCCCTGTGCCACATAGACATTTTAATTCACTGACTAGCAAAAGTGGTGGGCGAGTTTTGAATTCCTCTGCATTACTTAAGGACTAATTAGACATCAGTGCATATTTGTTTGCTAAAAATGGGTTATTTTCTACAATTGCCATAAAGTAGTTACTTATAAACTAGCTATTTTTTGCAATTGATATTTTTTTACTGCAGGGTACATACATATCCCACACGATCTTCGAAAGTAACACAACTCAAATTAGGCATTTTTGAAATTATGCACTAAACATCTGCACAGAGCTTTAATTGACCTGGCACTTGCTAAGAAATAGTTTTTCTCATTTTCTAACGAACGTGTAATTTTGAGTTATGACCAGAGTGTACAGATTTGGCGATTTCGCGCCAATTTTGCGATTTTTGTGGATATTTGCGCGTAAAAATTTAGGAAATCGTCATTGGCGATTTATGGTTTTTTCCCTTGAAATAAATTTTTACCAATTAAAAAAATATACAAAACTTATAATACAGAATTTTTTTACAGAAAGTCGAATGAAGTGCGTGATAAACTTGACATAACAAGCATATTAAAAGATTGTCAAAAATGTTTTATCACCCTAATCGAAGAACTTTTGTAACGATTACCTACTCAATTAAATACTTTTAAAAAAAAGTTATGATTTTGTCACCAGAAAAGTGTGTGAACCACAAGAGGGCGAGTTTCAGGAACCTGCTAATTCACTATTTGACTTTGAAGAAAAGAAAAGCAGCGGAAACTGAATATTTAAATCTTTTAACTTTCCCATGGAATAACTTTTCTCAGAACAATTCCATCCGACTCTGAAGGATTTTGGATAGCTGACCTATAATGAATTTAATAATTGCGCAGTCCTATTGCAAAATATATTGAAACAAATATTTTTAAAATGTATGCGTATTTTTAAAGAAAATCGTTTATACATCACTATTATATAAGTGATTTTTGTTATTTATTATTACCCTCTGAAGGTATTATATTCGTTTTCGGTTTTAAAAACTATATTATAACAAGATCTCATTTTTAAAATAAAAGATTTGTTAAATCGATTTCGTGAGTTTAAAAAAAGGCAATTTTTTTCAGAAATCGCGCTTTTGTTTAAACAATCTGAACACCCTGGTTGTGACACCTTTGAAGATCGTATACGATATACATACACGTAATAATAATACGTAATACTTATAGATAATAAGAATTCAAAAAGTTTTTTCTTTGACTAGCAAAGCAAGCGTTTAATATTATAACATGAACTAAAGAATTAACCTTTTTAAAAATCTACCCATTTAGAATTTTAGATATGCACCCCCAAAAACGTACTCGGAACTATGCTCTATAACTTTTTTTTTACTTTATTCGATGTTGCTAAAAAGTTCAGCACTTTGAACAAAAGTTACCGGACAAAAGGACACGAATTGTGCACATTCAAATGTGGTAGATTTCAAGCCTTGTGCGGTAGATCGTCAAATTTTTAAAAATATGCGGTAGAAGTGTGCACACTGGTTGAAACTCGTTTCGCCATACAGTTAGTGATAGAACTTTTTTGAAAAGTATCGATACTAGTACTCATATGGAATACTCTAAAAAAGTATCGATGCCAGTACTCATATTTGCAAAAAAGTATCGATAATACTCGTACTTAGAAGTATTCTCAAAGCAAACGCAAGAAAGTAAACAAACATCACATTGCTTTGCTTTTTTCACCTCTTCCTAGTTGTAAATTGAATAGTCACTGCTCTTAATAGTTTTAATATGAACTAAATGAGTTTTTGGAATTAACTTCCGATAAATTAGTTTTACATGCGTAAATTAAATGTTTATAGCAAAAAGCTTATTTACAAGTTTTTAAAAGCAAATATTTTATAACTAGTAATAATCCCCGAAAATCGGGGTGCTCCGTGGTCTAAAAAATCTCCATATTTCTTTGTTCTAAAAATCACATGCATTGCTTTTGGTAGTTAACTTACTTGGCATTTACTCGATACGCCTTGCGTTAAGCAATCCTCTTCCTAGGGTCTGACCTTGAGACTTATTTATTGTTATTGCGAACGCTCCAATAATTTTGAATTGGCGACGTTTAAATACAAAAGCAAGTGTTGATTCGCTGGGCTTTTAATTTATATGGGATAGTATAATTCGAACCATATGTTTAAAGTCCACTAACTAACCCTTTATA